AGCTGTGCCAGGGAAATGTAGTGGAACGCCCGGAGCTTACAGTGAGTACCGAGTAGCAAGTACCGGTTCTCTTCAGAATGGAAAGCGAACAGATAAGAGCATAAAGAAAGAGAAATCTGGAGGAGGAGGATCTGCATTGGTAGAAGTATATAAAAACGTAAAAAGTGAAAATAAGAAAAATCTCTTTCTGGTATTACCTACCAATACCACCGGATTTATCCCTAAGTACTGAGAAAATCGAAAGCTCCGACTCCGAGGCAGGCACTGTATTTTTATTCCGGCTCGATATGTCATAAAGGGGGATCCTGTGGAAGCCTCACTAGAATATAATAATAATGATAATAATCATAATAATAAGAAATGGATCGTAAAAAGTCGAAAGAGAGAAGAGCGCACAATGCCGGATAATGTAACCGAAAGGGAAATGTATAAATACATAAGTTTTAAAAAAAGGGAAACCAGAGTAAAAACACCCAGAGTCAGTTGGCATTGAAAGAGATGAAATTGACGGTGCAGACCTCTTCTCCCGCTCTCCTTCCTCCTATCCTGTATCGCCAAAAGTTTAAAAGTGAGAGTGGAGAGTACTTTCTGTTATTATTTTCCCCTTTTTTTAATTTTTTTTTGTTCGAACTGAATGTGTGGGATGCAAACAGCGTTGCGCTGTGCTGGAATGAAGCACCAGAAGATTTTTTATCTGGAGCCAAAGAGCAAACAATGCGACAAATAGTCCAATGGAGTGGAGATGAAAACAACAAAAGTGGAGCCAGTGTGCAGAAAGGGTTGAAGAGAATCAAGAGTGGCCCTATCGTCACACTAACTCGAGCTAGCTGGGAACACTCGAGTGGCTGGTGTATTTTCTGCTACCGTTTTCTGTTATCGTCAGACTGTCAAGAGGTTCCGCCGTGCTATGCAGAATGTAGAATGGAGAATGTAGAATGTGATATGGAGCACAAGCTCGGCTAGACATTTTGTTTCTTTTATTCCTACTTGCCTTATTTAATCCCCCTCGGCTTACGGTGGACGCAGCTAAAGACCTCTGTGTGTGGGAGTGTTACGACGACTACCTGTCGCACTTACTTTTGTTTCCCGGCTGTACTAGTAGTCATAAAGCAGTATTAAGTATTAGGCTCACAAAAAGCACTTTCGCTTAAGTGTAATGTCTCTGTTCCATTCTGTTCCGTTCTGCCGCATTCGGTCCCTCCAGGCTTCTTCCGAGGGGTAGTCGACATTTTTCAGGACTTTTGGCAATTACAATGCTGGTTTGTATTCTGGTTAAGAGTTTTTATTTTCTTTTTTGTTGATAATACGGAGTTTGATAAGCGATTTTTGTGTAATGTAATTTTTATAGTTTAATTTTAATGCAGTTTTTTATCGATAAATAAACTATAAATGTAAAGAAAAATTAATCTAATATTGAATTAGATTAAATAATTAATTTGTATGGAGAAAAAAAATTTTGTCCTCAATAAAAAACCTTAAAAAAAGATCGTTATGTATATTTTAAAATTTAACTCTCTACAAGTGAGAAAATTCAGCGCCAATTCGCCACCTATCGGAATTTTTTGGAACTAATTCGGACGGATAAATTATCTATGGCAAATTTTCACATTAGGATCTAAAAAAAGTTATAAATGGACACACTAAACCACATTAAAAATTACTTTCACGGGTTGAGTAAAGTAGTGAAGAAACTTTTGTTTGTACAAAAGGAAAAAAAGAGTTACAGAGATCCCGAAAAAGGGTAATAAACCGAAAATGAGTGTAGTAGGAGGAAAACTCGGTAGAGAGCTCGGGACTCTTTCACTAAAATAACTCGCTCATGAAACAGGATTCCTTATTGAAGACAAAGGAACAGAACCGGGGTACTCAATGCTGGGAAACGGGCTTACAAGGGCGTCACATAAAAATACAACAATTCATAATCCAATTTATGACAAGCTACCAACGTACCACTTCCGGCATTAAATCCAAAGGATTAATTCTCCCGTCGCCACCCTGGTCGACCACAACCCACCGCCTTTCTCTCTTTGTCCTCTTCCATCCTCCTCTCAATCGACAACAAGAGGATTGTGTTAGTAAGCCGAGAAAACCGGCATACTCCATTTATATTTTCACAATGTCCTGAATCAGCTCCAGAGAATCATCTGTACCCTTCCGAACTTTTTATTTTTCCAACTAAACTATTTATCTTCGGTAAGTATTTTTCATCCTCCGAAAAAGTCCCAGCAATTTGTCGAAGACATTTTTATTTTTTTTTCCTACTTTTATTATTTTTTTTTCATTTTAAAATTCTCTAAAAATGATTTTAATTTTTTGTTTTTTGTTGTTATAAATCAGGGTATCGTGTGTTAAAGTTAACGGCGGGAGTAACCAGTACTCTGTGAAACAATTGTGAAAGAGGATATGCGTCGCGAGGATCTGGTGGGGGCGCGGGGCAGCGGCGGGTGTTTTCGAGCAACGAAACCCGTTAGTAAGCGGCATTGTTAACGGAAACGTGTCGCCACCCTCGCTGGGCTTCCGTTTTGTATGTAAGGGTTGGTCGGGTTTAGGCGAACAGAGGACAGAGGAAAGAGGGTGGAAAGAGAAGGAGAGTTTGAGGTGAGGAAAGGGGTTGTATAACGCTTTTAGCAGTGAACATTGAGAGCGTATGGGCCACGGTAGGTTGCACCCGGGGCCGATTTCGACCACCGTTCTCACCCACCCCCACACCCAGGATCCTCGTCAGAGTGGGCGTACTGCTTGTATATGTATATAGATATGGATATGGATATATGTATGAATTTATGTCGGTGTGTATGTCCTTGGAATAGGGTGTAATCGAGCATGCGCATTCAACTCATGATATCCCTATGTACGCTTCAAATATCACTGACCAGAGATATCAAATGTTTGTCTAGGGATACGCGATCCCGCTGGGAAATTCATTTGTTGTTAAATTTATACTCTTATGTTTTAAATAGTTCTTTTTCGGGTTAAATTTTCTTCTCGGTAGTCATTTTTTTTCTATTTGGTTTTTTTTGTTGCTTAAAACATTCTTCGTTGAGATAAAATAACAAATAAACCATAAAAATTTTCCTAAAATATTTGCTCAAAATTTTCTATAAAGAAATTATTTTTTAATTTTTTTTAAAGCGAGGATTATTGTAGAAAATTTTCTATCTATGGCCATATGTGACCTTATAAAGCCATATATGGTATAATTCACCCATAGTGAGCCATATAATGCCCTAAAATGGTCATAAATATGGCAAATTTTTTATTTCAGGCTATGTATAACGTAATTCAGCCATAGTAAACCACATTTTGCCATATAATGCATTAAAATGGCCATCTATATAGCAAATTTTTTATATCAAGCCATATATAGGCATTTTAGAAAATCAAATTTTATGGTATGGCAATATAAAGCCATAATATGACCTAAAATGCCATATATATGGCCAATTATAATATCATGCCATATATATGGCAACTTTTTCATATCAAGCTATATATAGATATCTCAGGAAATCAAATTTTATGATATGGCAATATAAAGCCATATTATGGCTTAAATGAGCATAGAAAATTTTCTAATATGGTCATAAAAAAATTTTTTTTTAGATAAACTTTAGACTTTTTTTTTTAAATTAAAAAAGAAAAATTAATCTATTTATAAAAAAAATTTTTAATTAAAATTCTTTAATAAAAATGAAATTCTAAAAACTGTCAACAAAGAAAAATGATTCCCTAATGGATTCATTTATATGTTCTCGACTACAAAGATAAAAATAATAAAATTTATTCCAACTCTCTCTCTCCTCGGACAAAAATAGAATTTTCATCTGGTTTTAATTAAAAAACAATGTAATGTAAAATATATAAATACATCAAAGCCTAACTAACAGAGTTAGTAAATAATTTACCAGTAAAAATCGTGTATAAGAAGTATGAGAAATGTTAAAAGTAAAAAAAGTGTCTGACGACAGTGAGTGAGTTCGTGGTGTCAGCCGGCGTTGTAGCGGCAATAAAAATCTGTCATCAGTGGTTGGTAATCATCTAAATTTTAGTTCATTCATTCCATTCATTTTACACACAACTAAACTCCTACACAGAAATACTCATAATAAGTTACTGTATACAACAGGTCCAACCAGACATTTAACACAATAAAACACTTTAAAGACTTTAAACTCGGCATTTATAATCTACACAGTACATCTATACAAATATATACTTATATATGTTTATAAATGAATGTATAATCCTCTTTCAACACTAATAATAAGCCGTTAAATTCCCTCTTATTTAATGTCCACTGAGTAGTACTAGGGTATCTTAATCTTCAAAATACACCAGACACACTAAATAACATCATCATGAAAATATAATAAATATAATACAATATAATATAACCTTTTTATTTTATTTTATAATCCCGGTGATTTATAGTCTTTATTTTGACAGAATATAACTGACATACCAGCTGTTTTTCATTAATTTTTTTTTACATTAAATTTAATTGAAATTTTTGTAAATATTATTAATTTTTTATTCTATTTTTTCCGTAAAATTTTTGTAACACAAAAATATTTTTTTTTTCAATTAATAATTTTTTATCAAAAAAAAAAAGTTTTTATTTTTTCAACTCGCAAAAAATCGTCGACTCTATAATCAATAACAAAGTGAAATAAAAAAAAAATATAAATCAGCATGTTCTCTTAATATTTTCCTAGTAACTGTCAAAGGTAATTGAGTGATATTGATAGATGAATTTTCATTTTATGATATTAATAATAAATTAAATTAGCCCTCCAACGGGAGACTCGAGACTGCAGACATTGCGCCGAGGAACGGGTAATGTAATGCAATGCAGCATAATGTTAAATTTTATTTGATGTGACGAAGAGTGATTAAACAATTTCAAAAATGGATTTTAAAACTTTTGAATAAGTGCATCGCTCCCCTTCCTCTTCCAACAATATTACCGAGGATTAATGTGAGGCTAGGACATGTATATGATGAGCAAAAGTGCTACACATTGGTCGCGATCGCGTGACACCTCCCCAGCCCGATGGATCACTGCCAGGAACATAGTCAAAGATAATCTCTTACATTACCAGCAGCTTCCTCTTCCTCTTTCTCTTAGCGCCTCTGTTTCTTAAAAATCCGCATTCGATGTTTGTTTTTTTTAGATATTTTATTTTATCTACATTTTTTACCCCAGACCTGTCTTTATATAAATTTCCATCCTACTTCAGCTATTTTATATTTTATTTATCTCCGTACTATCTGTTATTTTTATTTTTTGTTCTACAAATTCCCCGGTTGGCAAATGCTGACTTTCATCCGTCAGGCTTTCTCTCTACGTCAGAGTTAAAGAAAAACGTCTGTTAAACGAATGCAAATTTTCACGTGCTTGAATTATTTTTGTACTGGATTATGCTTATGTTCATTTTGATTCTAATGGACCTTTAATATTTATCCGTCAGATACATTTTGCAAATCTACCGGCGGATTCTTGGGTCAGAAAGGGAAAAATATTCTGTTCTGGTGGAAAAGAATTGTGTAAATGTATTAAACAAGGGAATAAGTATTCCCTGAGTTATTACGGGAGTATGTTCTTTCTATTAGACGGATAATTAAATAGGTAAGTACTGAATTTAATAATTAGGGTAATGGAGAAATAATTAGTGGAAAAAATTTATCGGGAGTGCTTTGAAGGTAGGATTAATTAATGGGAGTTTAGTGACATGTTTAAGGGTTAATTAGTTTGTTAATTATGTAGTGAAGAGAGACGATAATTATTAGGTAAATTAGAAAATTTTTTTTAGTTTATTTCAATTTATAAAGTAGCATTTTTTTGTGATTTTTTCGAACTATTATACATTTTAAAAAATTCTTTTGACAGGTAATTCTTTTTTAATTCAACTATTTTATATTTTTTTAGTTCAATAAAAAATTTCTCTATTTATTATTGGCAGTAGGATTAAGGTTAGCAGTGATGTCTGTTTATCTGCGGAGAATATTGTTGTTGCTGGCAGTGTGATTCCTTACGTGAAGACTGTAAAATACTTGGGGGTTGTTATTGATAACACTCTTTCATGGGAGCATCAAGTTACCAAGATGTGTATTCAGGCTATGAGTTCGTTGGCTCAGTTAAAAATAAGCAATGAAGTGTTCAATAGGCAATTACGTATTAAACTTGTGACAACTATTATTTTTCCGATTTTTGATTATTGTTGTGCTGCATTTACAAATATGTCTAAAAAGTTACAAATGAGACTACAAAGAAAAATGAACTCGTGTGTGAGATTTATTTTCAAGTTATCACGATATGAACATGTAACTCCATATTATAAACAATTAAGTTGGCTAAAACTGAGTACAAGGAGAGATTATTTTATTGCGTGTTTATTTTTTAAAGAAATTCGGTTAAATTATCGTCAGTTGTTTGGCTCAAAGCTGCAGTTCCTGGAGGTTGCAATGCGCCGAGGAGACATTAGGCAGGATTACTTGAAATTACCAATGTCTGCAAGTAACATTTACGATAAATCGTTTTTAATTCAAGGCATACGAGTCTGGAACTCTTTGCCGGCTGGGCTTACAACTGTAGATAATTTGACTGAATTTCAGAATCGCTTATTTGTATTCCTTCTCGATAAAGATGTTTAGATAATCTCTACTTATTTATTATCATGATTATTGTATTTTCATAATTATTGTGTCCTACTATTTTCGTTTCAATGTCATCATTGGTATTATTTATTTATTTATTTTGATTTAATTCTTAAATTACATATGTAACTCTCTGATTTATATTATTTATATAAGATTATTTATTTATGATTTATATTTATATTATATTTGGTTATTATGCTCCTTTTGGATACTTTTATTGTATTTGGAAATTATACTTATATTATAATTAGAAATTAATTTGCTAATAAGATTATTGTAAAAAAAAAAAAAAAAATGTAAACTGTATATGACTTTGATGGCCTTGAGGGAGCCCAGGCTCTAAGATCAAATAAATCACTTTATCTATCTATCTATCTATTTAAAATAGAAAAAAAAAATTTTGACTCAATTTTGATGATTAAAAAATACTAAAAATTTTTAAAATAAAGATATATAAAATTTTTTAATGAAAAAAATTTTCTTGATAATTCTTTTTTGTTTATTTTCTTAAGGTAGTTCGGTCATAAATGCAAAATTTTAAGAAGTTTTCGAAATTTGAAATATGGGTAATAGAATACGCATTACATGTGCTGTTGAAATTTAAAATCAACTGGTCATACCAGAAATGAAATAATTGTAATTAAAAATGACATTTTAGCACAGATAGTATGGGTGGAGAGTGAGAAAATCACAAATATTAATGGTTATTGAATTGAAAAAATTTTAAGATCGTTTCAAAAAAGTGATACCTGTTAGAATAATATACTTATAATAATCAGACGCTCGGAAAGACTGGCTTCAAAGTACAACAATGTCTATTTCTGCTTTCCAAATTTCTCGACATCAGTATATGATGTCATTAGATGTCATAAATTCACTCAGCATAGAGGCATTTAAATCCAAAATCTTTGAATTCTAACTCCTATGAGCTTGTACTCAGGGAGGCCTAGGGATCAAAGTCTGCAAATATTCTAAAATAATTTATAGTATATATTGATATGTACAAAACAAAACTATACTGCTCAGATCTATGATTGTTTATATGTTTATATTTTTCTTTTGTATATCTTCACGGAGAAAAAAAAACAACACTGATTACTAATTTGTGCAGTACTCAGTACTGCTTTGGAAGAAAATGAGGTTAGAATGTTTGGGACAGTAGAGAGCGCTACATAATAACTACTGACAATTGTCTGCACACTACTGAGTCGTGTTCTGGCACTAACCAGTCGTGGTTTGTACAGCACTCACTACTGACTATGAACATTTTTCTAATATTTGTACGAAACACTAATCATTGCTGTTTTATTTTCTCCGTGTTCTATTTATGCTGTCATTTTGAGTCACAATCTTTCATTTTGAAAATGACCATGTTTATGGTTTTACATGTACTTTAATTATATTCTATTGTATTTTTTTGGCCATCTGGCTTTTTACTTTGGCATTTAAATCTGAATAAATAAATGAAGAAATTTTGAAAATTTTGACCATGTAGTTTATTATAAATTGTTAATAAACTGGCTAGTTAAACAAAAATAACCATTAGTAAAAGTGAATAAGAGATTTCGTGAGAAAGGCAGCACTAGCGAGTGAAAAGGAAAGAAATAGAACAAACTATATGTCCCGAGTGAACTACCTTAAATAAATTTAAAGTTAAAATTTTGAAGCAATTTTTTCTTATTAGGAATTATAAGCCAAAACAACAAAACCATATGTTAGGTAATCCAAAGAAAGTTATATTACTTGTAGGAAAACTATCGATAGAAAAAGACAGTGGAGCATAGCATAAGCAACTATAAATAACTAAAAAGCTCTTAGGATACCGTCAGAATCTCCGAGCGGGAGAAGTTCATTTGACATTAGCATATAAATACAATTCTAACAGCAACACCCCAGAAAAAGTTTCTCAGAGACCGAAGTAAAGGCACTTACCTACAACTTAAATTTGGATAGTTAAAATGTGTCGCTGACTCTTATAGTCGTATACTAACCACCCGACGCTGAACTACCAGGTGAGATCCGACCCGCGAACTAAAACTCCTCCACCTTTCTGTGGATTGTATAGATGTATATGCACGAAATATACAGAGCTTTATTCAGTTGATGTGCTTGCAAGCACAGTTTCTCATTCTATTTCTTATAAACGATAAAGTTCCGCGGATTTTCTTCTTTATGCTACACGTCGAGTGTTACGTCGTGCGTCAAGCTCCGCACAGAGAATCCCTTGGGCACGCCGTGCAACGTGTTCCTAAATATCTCGAGCTTTGCTGACTATATATAGAATATATTTTATATATATTGAACGCCAGCTATACCAACGATCCTATACAGCACTCACGGAATCCATGAGTTATTGCGGACCCCTTGACCCTAGTGATTTCTCAAATGGTGACGATTTTTTTTCTACTCTTTCCTCTCAAGTGCTTTCCCTACTTTTCTTTCTTTTTTCTTCAACAATTTTTACGGTGCTTTTAACAGCTAATGGACCTGATATTTTCATTTTAAATTACTACTTGGACTATCTTTGACAACTGAATTGATGTTTTACCAATTTACAGGAAAATACAATAATTATTATCTTTATTCATTTTTCGAGTTCAAATTTCGCGCTTTAACTGCGCCATCTATGTACGTCATATCTCGTATTGCCAATATTAAAGCAGAAGAAATAAGCTAGACAAATTAAACTAATAAACAAATAAAATACATTGTTTATAAATTAAAATATAAATTTGTAATAAAAAATCTAAATTAAAATTTTAGAATGAGCAGAAAAAATTTTTTAATGACAATATTAATATTATTATAGTTTAATTATAATTTAAATATTATTTCTTGTACCATTTTTGATGATTTGATTGATATTTAATCAATTTAAAGGGAAAAATATACACAGTAAAAAATTTTGTGTCATTGCGTCAAAAAACTTAGTGTTAAAAATTTTTGTGTTAAATATTTAACACTTTTTTTGTGTAAATTTAACATTTATTCTGTTAAAAAAACACAAAATAGTTTTAAATATTTAACATAAAAATTTTTAACACAAAATTTTTTGACGAAATGATGCAAAATTTTTTTACTATCTAATAATTATCAGAATTGTGGGTTTTTAAGATTCAAACTTCGCGCGCTATAGATGCGCCATCTATGTACGTCATATCCCGTATTATCAATCATTAAAAACAGAAAATTCTTCGTTTTGGCGCGAAATTTAAGAAAAAAAAAGTTTTTATTATTATTAAGAGTATTTTACTGTAATTATAACAATGTCTTAATAAAGAAAATAATTAATTCGTGAAAAAAGTACGATATTTATGAACTGTAATTTAAATTTAAAAGCTCAGTAACAAAAAAATTAAATTATAATTTTACAAGGAGAAATAAAAAATCCATAACAAATAAATATTAATATCTCGGAAGTAGAGTGTTTCCTCGACAGACGGAATAAAATTCAAATGAAGAGGAACAATATATATATTTAAACTGTTAGAGCCAAGAGAAATCGAGACTAGAAAGGAATAAATAAAGTTTCGTTAAAATCGGTAAGAAATACCGTGAAGAAAGTAGACTGCTACCCGTTACAGAAATAACCGGGGGTAGTTGGGAGGGTGGGATTTGTAAGGAAAATGAAACGTCCATTAGGTGAAATAATTGAAGAAATTCAACAAGCCCTGCATGAAGGAGAAGACGTCTTTGGCGCAATAATTCACGAGAAAAAGTTTCTTTTGGTTGTCTCGGGAATTGCCGGGAACATTCTTGCGCTCACTGCTCCTTACTTCAGTCACTCACTACTCACTCTGCTCATTTTATAAATTTTCTCGATGTATACAGAAGCTTTTCCAGGAGCAGCAGTGTCCTTTCCACGGATCGTCTTTCTATTAAAAATATTAAATATTTCAATATGGGGAAGGAGGTACAGCCAAAGTTCAGTGACAAGAGAAAAGTAAAGAGTGCAGGGTAGAAAAATTTATAAAAATAAGAAGAAGGAAAAGAAAAATGTAAGACTTTGTTGTCTGGGGGAGTGTGAGCGAGAAAATTGCAAGTGAGACGGAGAAAGGAATGAAAGGATTGTGAGTTGAGTAGAGAGTAGAGAGTAGAAAAGGTAGACACAGACTCTGCCAGGAGGAAGAGGAGGAGGTGGCAAGATGAAGGGAGGGCTGTAAAAGCAAAGGAGAGCTTACGACGTTAAGCCCGTCGTGATTGAACTATTTATGTTGCGGACGCGTACACCTACCACGTACCAGGAGGTGCTGCAGAGAAGCTGGAAGATAGCATGCCGGGTTCCTACGGCAATTCCTGGAGCCGGAGCATTTGCCGAGTCTACTCCTTTTACGTCGTCTCCCAGCTCCGCAAGGTCCCGTCTGGGGTTGGGATACCCGTACACCTGACTCGCATTATTGCCGACATGCCATCCGTTAAGATACTCAAAGGCCACATTTTTCAATAGGCCTCGATCTTATTTTATTTTGTTTCATTTTATACCTATTTTAACGTTAACGGAAACCTTTTTATTTCCGTCGTTTCACTTTCCTGGAGAATATTTTTGATGGATATTTTTTATTACTGCTGGATTTATGGGAAAATAATGCAGGCTTTTCATGATTTTTTTTAGTTTTTGAATATATAGCCAAAAAATTTGATAAATTATTTTTTTTCAATTGATACATGGAAAAAAACGTTAAGCTACAATAATAAGTTAGTTTTTGTTGTAAAAAATATTTTTTTTTGCACTGAAGAAAAAATAGCTGATTAATTTTATTTTCAAAATTTAACTTTTGGTTGGCGATATTCAGTTTTAATTAACTCAAAAAATTAGTCAAGGTAATTATTTTTTAGTGTGATTATTCTCAAAATTTTTGATACCTCTGAAAATCTTTTGAACGATCATTTTTAATGACTGTAATACGATTTTGGGAAGAGTTACGACGTGAAATAGCCAAATCATGTAGCTTGGAAGATTTTAAAAATCAAATTTTCGATGATTTGTTAAATTT